ATTTCTTTTTTAAAAAAAATATATTTTATTGATTTTTAACAGAGAGGAAGGGAGAGTGATAGAGAGTTAAAAACATCGATGAGAGAGAAACATCAATCAGCTGACTTCTGCACACCCCCTACTGGGGATATGTCCACAACCAAGGTACATGCCCTTGACCGGAATCGAACCTAGGACCCTTCAGTCCACAGGCTGACACTCTATCCACTGAGCCAAACCAGTTAGGGCTAATTGGATTTCTTTTACTGTTCAGTTTTGAGAGTTCTTTATATAATCTCAATACAAACCCTTTGTCTGCTATATGATTTGCAAATATTTTCTCCCAGTCTATAGCTTGCTTTTTCATCCTCTGAACAGGGTCTTTCACAGAGAAAAAATTTTAACTTTGATGAAGTCTTATTTACCATTTTTTCTTTAATGATCATACCTTTGGTGTCATATGTAGAATTCTTTCCCAACTCTACATCCCTGTATTAGTTTCCTAGAGTTGCTATAACAAATCAACATAAACATTGTGACTTAAAGAAGAGAAAATTATTTTCACCTCTGACTGTGGCAAAATATTCATTATTTTTATGCATGCTATATCCTGTCACCTCTCTAAATATAATAATTATTCTTAAGCTGTACAACTTTTTAAAATTATTATTAGCTTTGTTTCCTTGTGTGTAAATTCTTTTATTTGTTGAAGTTGTGGCCTATGCCAGATCATGTCTGTTGGTACTTAGCCCTATATCCACTTTGCTATAATCCCCTTTGTATTCCTGAAGCTGGGTATCTGAAATGACATATCCCAGACTCCCTGCCAGATGAGTGCTATTTAGATTATGCAAATGAAGGACAGTCACACAAGATTGAAGGAGGGAAGAAGATTGTGTTTCAGACAGTGCCCATGGCAGTGGCAGTGGCCCCTGCTACTGTTCAGGTAGTGAGTGCAGGCTTATGGGCTACAGCTCAGGGACTGTAGCCACTTCCTGATCTATGGGCAACACCATCTCCCTCGCTTTGCTTCTCCAGCCTTTCCAAAATTATGGTAGCAACTTCCTTGATGGATGCAGTATTTTGGTATTGGAAGCAGTCCAAGCAGATAGGCTCTCATAGATATAAATTTAAGGTTGCTTATCGGAACTGGCCTCCTTGCCAGTAGAACTGGGTTATTATTAGTCTAAAGCAGCCGTGAGCAAACTAGCCCCCGGGCCGGATTCGGCCCGTTTGAAATGAATAAAACTAAAAAAAAAAAAAAAAAAAGACTGTACCCTTTTATGTAATGATATTTACTTTAAATTTATATTAGTTTACACAAACACTCCATCCATGCTTTTGTTCCGGCCCTCCGGTCCAGTTTAAGAACCCATTGTGACCCTCGAGTCAAAAAGTTTGCCCACCCCTGGGACTCTAAAGCATGAGGGACAAAAGAGATATTTAAGTTAGAATTCAGGGTTGCCTTGAATGGAGTGCAATTGTAGACAAATCTTTGGAAGATATAAAGGAATATTCTCCTTTCTTGACATTTCTGAGGATTCGGGGATGGAATGGAAGGCTGCAGGGTATGCTTACTCTGCCATCCTGCTCCAATCTTCTGTATTATTTTTTGAAATGGTGATTATGCTTATTGCTCAATTAAGATTATGTTTTAAAAATCACTACAAGGAAAACTATGTGGCAATATTTAACCATACTTCATGGACACTTGGCCTGCTATTTCAATATCCCAGTGCACATGTTGAAGGGGTTTGAACAGTAGCCATGATACCCTGGAGGAAATGATCACATTTTTTGATTATTTCATTCCAGTAACAGTTCTGTCCTGGGAAAAAGATTAGCCTCCAGGCATTCCTGACTGTTTTTCAGTTACAGTCTCTAAACCAGTATGCAGCAGCATTGCTTCTTTCTACAAGGTGGCCTTTGTAGTAGCTGGCAGATTTCCCTGGGGCCTCAGAATGGCAGACTTTCGCAATGTCACTGGCTGACAGTTCAATCCAGCACAGGCTTGGCGAGATTTTAGGGCTAAAGTCATTGCACCTTGTGCAATAGTTAAAGCTTGCAATAACCAGCTGCAGTCCCTAAGGCTGGGAAAAAATACTTTTTATGCCAATCTCAAAACTACCCTAAAATACATGCACGAATCTTAGAGTCTCAGAGTCCATCTGGAGGGGTGAAGAACATGAGGTATTACAAAGCCTAAGAATTTTGTAGTCTGATGGATCTGGGTTCAAATCTTGAATCTGTACCTTGGACAAGTCACTTACTAGAACAGTGATGGCGAACCTTTTGAGCTCGGCGTGTCAGCATTTTGAAAAACCCTAACTTAACTCTGCTGCCGTGTCACATATAGAAATTTTTTGATATTTGCAACCATAGTAAAACAAAGATTTATATTTTTGATATTTATTTTATATATTTAAATGCCATTTAACAAAGAAAAATCAACCAAAAAAATGAGTTCACGTGTCACCTCTGACACGCATGTCATAGGTTCGCCATCACTGTACTAGAATGATCTCCGGATGCTTTATTTGTAAAGTGGGAAACAATCATAGTTATCTCCAAGGGAAGATTATAACAATTCACTTACTAATTGATTCAACATTTGTTATTGCCTACCTTTTACTAGATCTTATTCTAGGGCCAAGGGGACACAATATTGAACAGGCAATGTGCCTGATTTCATGAAGTTTACCTTCTAATAAGTAGAGAAAGATAGTAACACAGACCAAACTAAATAAGAAAATGCCACAATAAAAATGAAACAGCGATGAAACAGAGAGTTGCTGCAGTTTCTCTGTGTTTTCTTCTTGGTTCAAACTACCTAGTAACTATATAGAACCTCATTTTCACAGGCCCCTTATCTAAGCCAGTAGGCCTTTGGAGAGGGTCTCATGATTAATTTTAATGGTCCAATGGTGATGGAAGGAGACTCAATTTTAGGTGGTTAACACATAATGCATTATACAGGTGATGTATTGTAGAGCAGTATACCTGAAACCTACATAATTTTATGAACTGATGTCACTCCAATAAATTCAATAACTTTTTTAAAAATGTTAATGGCTCAATTTGACTTCTCTGGAAACATTTGCATACAGCATGTCCTAAAATAACATCATTTCATTCAATGTTTTATTATAACATTGATGAGATGCTGTAGGAACTTAACTTCTGTTTATATCAATTAGACTATGGTAAAATTGGTTTTGTTTTATGTCGCTTCATAAAACAGAACCTATGGATGACATTAAGTGAGGACCTACTATATGAGTAGAAGGCAGAGGCCTTGGGCCATACTTTCACTTTACTTTGCTGGTGGACTTTTAGACTCTGTGTAGCCAGTGAAGGTGGTGTTTGGGGGTAGGCAGACACTTTCTTGCCCATCCTCTGCCTGAAAACACTCTGTTTCTGAATTGTTGGGGTCCAACCCCAGCAGGTCCAGGGGTCCCCAAAGGTGTGGACGGAGTCGGCGAAGAAGGAATGACACGGAGACAGCCCTCAGTTGATCAGCAGCCTAGTCAGGACCTCTAGCCAGGATCTCCAGCCAAAGTTCTGGTCGGAGTTATGGTTAGGAACTGATCAGGATCTGATGTTTATTGTCTTGTTACATCTATATTTATACCAGCCGATTTTAATCCTGTCAATTTCTATTACAAAGGTTAGGGCGTTTCTTATCTCCATTCCAGGGAGTAAAGATTATGTAGCTTAACTACCCGCCTGGCACTTAATTAAGGGGTTGTATCCCCTCCCTAACCTCAGGGAAAAATCCCTACCTGGGGAAACAACCTTTCTCGGAGAGGTGACCTTGGTTAAAACACATGGCGCTTAAGGAGAGCAAACATATTAAGAACAATATGCTATATATGCCAGGTCCCTTGAAACATATGCTGTGCAGATGTTTCTTTCCTGCAGCTACTGTGTCAAGCAGCAAGGATGGACCGGCTCCCGGCACTGAATGTCTTGTAGAATTTGTTACTGGGATCTCAAGCCCTGCTGGGGTCATTTAATGCATCAGAATTTGTGGCTTGCAAGAAGCAACTTTGATCCAGCCCTTCAAAAATATAACATGGGTCTGCCAAGAAAGAGTCCAAGGTGATGAATGTTGCTATTTCAAGCCTAAGCCTAGGAACACCGATGTGGATGGCAGCGTCTGGTCCTCCAGGCTGCTCCAGCCCAGAGCTGGGTTCCCTAATAGGTGGATTAGGCACATGGTTAAGGCACTGGTAAAAGAGAACTCACACACACCTGAAAAGTTAGCTTTTAAAGCCTTATTTAGAATTTTGGAACCAGAAATATCTTGGAGGACGGTATTCTAATATCACATTTTATGTAAGTCTTCTGTTATATTGAATATGAGTTACATAGGGGTGGGGCTCCATAATCTTTTGGAATTCAGGGCCTCTAAAGATCATAATCTGGCCCTGCCCCACACCATCCAGAAACTTCCCCTCACCTCAGTTCTCAGAATTAACACACATAGTCTCTCACAAAACTGGGGTCCAGGCTAGGGAGTGGAGGATGTATTCTATTTCTTACTCTACTGCAGCCCCCTCTGCCTGTTCCCCTTTCTGTAGTGCCAATGACTGAACCACACAGTTTCACACTTCATCATATGCAGTGACCAGGAGTGTGATAGTGGTAACTGGTGCCTCTGACTTTTAGGGCAAATCTATGGGGGAAGGGAGGTCTCCTGGACCATTGGATGATTCCATTTTACATGAGAAAATTTCTCCCGTGATGCAGAAATATATTGTTTTCCTGCTTCTGGTCTTGAACCTTACCCCATCTTCTATTGCTGTTATAGGAAGCAAAAATAAGGGCCAAGGCCTGGGAACATGAGGGTTTGACTGAGTCTCCACTTGGCCTCTTCAGACCAAGCTGGGCTGCCCCAGTTCCCCAGAGTAGAGACCTGGGCAGCTGCCAGGGGCAAGGTGCTGGCCCATTGGTCTCAGGCCTTCACAGGGTTGGCCAATGGGAAGGGAGAGTTGTGAGGTGGGGACTGCCCACCCCCATGAGTAGCAGGCTGCTGAGGCCGAGCCATCTCCTCCTCTCTTCCATCCTGACTGCAGTCTGTGGATCTGATCCCACACCTGGAGGTAAGAGCAATGTGATTAAAGTTCGAGGCTGGGGTTGGTGGTGGCTGCCCTGCCTTGGGGCCTCTGGCTCAGGTGCCCCCACACTCTCCTGTTGCAGCAGCGTGGTGAATGATACAGCAAAGCTTGGCCAGGGCAGTTTTCTTGATTCTCTTCACAGCTCCAAGAGAAAGGAGACTGTTCCTCTGGTCAAAATGCCTGGGACCATCTTGAATTTTGACCAGTTCACTCTGTGGCAAGATGCCTCCCCAGAGAAAAAGTTAGGGTCAGCGAGGGGGAGGAATGGTCCAGTGGTAGAGTCCAATTAGATAAGAGGAGAAGGGGATCAAATGATTCTCACAGAAAGAAGCACAGGAAGAGGCAGTTTGGGAAAAGCCTGAGCGCCGACCTCAGACTGAGTTTGAAATCCAGGTCTACCATGTGATTCTACTCAGCAAATGTTATTGAGCAGGTTTTACGGGTTCACAAGACACAAAGATGAATGAGACATTGTTGCCTATAGATTTGGGAGTATCTGTGGACATGGGGATATCTACGGAGATGTGGGGGACATCTCACAGAGTGATCGAGAGGTTCAAATGAGACAAAGTGAGCAAAAGGCCTGGCATATACTGGAGGGGCTTACGAAAAACCTTATTTTTAGAAGACATTTTCTGATAGAAACAGCTGGGTCTGCCTGGCCTTTGCCAAACTCAATTCTGCTCTCCACAGTGAGCAGTGTCTGAGGCATCCTGGTTGTTTCTAGCTGTCAACATAGAGGCCAGAGTGGGAAGCATTTTAGATGTCAGGCCTGTCCTTGTGTGTCAGAGGATGTGGGTCCCTCGTCAGGAAGGTTCTGGTTTTCAGATCAAGCTTTGCACTGTGTGTAGCCACCTCTGTCCTGGTGAGTTTTTCTTAGGGGCAAAGTTAGCTCCTCCTAACAAGTTTGGGGAGCCAGGGAGCCCTTTATGCTGGCAGAATATGCCCAGAAGAGCATGAGGGTGTCTACTTTGTTCTTGAAGCAAAACAGTGGAAAGCCAGCTCTGTAGCTTAATTGGCAGTCCTTGTGGCCACCCTCCCAGAATGCTTGAGGAGTTGTAAAGAGAGGCACAGGACCTGGTTCTTGTCCTTTCTAAGGTGGCTGCAGGGACCTTTCCATCTACTCCTTGTCAAGCCAGAAGACCAGCGGTCTCAGACAGACACTTGGCAGAGGTCAGGAGGTAGAAGCTCTGGAGACAAGAAGCTTTCAATCAGGAATTCCTTCATGTGCAGAGACCCCGATGCTAAAAATGTGGTGGAGGAATGCTCTGCTTTACTAGTTCTTTGAGAACATGAGTGTGTGAGTGTGAGTGTGTGTGTGTGCACGCGTGTGTGTGTGTGTGTGTGTGTGTGTGAGAGAGAGAGAGAGAGAGAGAGAGAGAGAGAGAGAGAGATTTGGGCATGGAGATGCTGACAATTTTCCCAGGGCTGAGTGAAAGCTTTCAGGTAACTCTCCTGGGAGCTGAGCTAATGCTTGCTTCTGCCATCTAGCATTAGGTTGCACCATGTGAAATTGCCAGTATTCTACAATTTTTTAACCTTTAAAAACAGCAAGTTCATATAATTCAAACTAAGAGTTGTATGATAGAAGCAGAGAAGCATTGATCAGACCCTCAAACCTCAGAGGGAAGGTAAGGGAGGGCGGGGATAAGGGGGAGAGATCAACCAAAGGACTTATATGCATGCATATAAGCCTAACCAATGGACACAGACACCAGGGAGGTGAGGGCATGAGTGGGGGGTGGGGGGAGCAATGGGGGCATAAGGACACATATGTAATACCTTAATCAATAGAGAAAAATTTTTTTAAAAAAGTAAAAAAAAAGTTGTATTATTTTTTAAACCAATATCTTGGTCTCTTCATTCTTCTATATAGGGGAGTCAAAAGCTATACAGGGAGGATTAAATGAAATCAGATTTAAAAGTGCCTCACACAATTTATGCTCCAAAGTACTCTTGCTAAATTTCAAAGTGTTCTCATCGCCCTCATCTTACATGATCTCATTTAGCGGATTAAGAAGCTGAGCCTGGGAAGCCTTTTGGGAGGCAGTGTAATGTGATGGAAAGCTCACTGGTTTGGAAGCCAAATGGGAGTCTCACAGGAATCATCTAAATCTCTGCTTCCCCATCCCAAAAGTTGGGGTTATTTTCCTTGCTTCATGGAGTTCTTATAAAGATTAAAATACTAGTAAGTAATAAATAAAATGAATAATGTGTAAAAGCTTCTGGTGTGGGAGTTAGTTTCTAGGTTAATCTAATAAATGCATCTCTTTCCTTGCCCTTAGTCCCCCATTTGTAAAAGCAGGGGAGGGGTGAGATGGTTTCTGGGGCCCCTCTTGTCTCCCAGGGGCGGTGTGAACTGTGCTTTACTGCCCTTTCCTGCTGGAAGAGTTGGCGCCTGGCGTGGTAACTTCTTCCCCCCATATTGCTCTGTCCCCTGTCAGCCCCAAAGGAGACCTCATCCTTGTATTTCACAAGATTCTGCTCTTGTTACTGAAATTCCAGCAGGTCAAAGTGGAATTTCTCATACATTTAACACTAGAGGCCTGGTGCACGAATTCATAAATCAGTGGGGTCCCTCGGCCTGGCCTGCAGGATCGGGCTGAAACGGGCTCTCCAACATCCCCTGAGGGGTCCTGGATTGTGAGAGGGTCGAGGCCAGGCTGAGGGACCCCACTAGTGCGTGATCAGGGCCGGGGAGGGACCACAGGAGGGCTCCAGGGCATGTCCGGCTCATCTTGCTCAGTCCTGATTGGCCAGACCCCAGCAGCAAGCTAACCTACCGGTTGGAGTGTCTGCCCCCTGGTGGTCAGTGCATGTCATAGTGAGCGGTTGACTGGCCTTAGCATATCATTAGCATATTACGCTTTGATTGGTTGAATGATGACCAGATGAATGGACACTTTTCATATTAGGCTTTTATTATATAGGATATGAAAATGAGAGATCATAACATGGCCTTTGAGGACTCAAAGAACATCATGATCATCCCCTTGTAATTTTTTATTTATTTTTATTTTTTTCTTTATTGATTAAGGTATTACATGTGTTCTTATCCCCCCATTGCCCCCTCACTTGTGCCCTCACCCCCTTAGTGTCTGTGTCCATTGGTTCTGCTTATATGCATTCATATAAGCCCTTGCAATTTTAAAAGCAAACAGCTCCTGTGCATGGGGCCATGAAAGCCAGTGCAGTAGAGAGGAGCCAGCCTTCCATTTCAAATGGCACCTCTGCACACTTCCACTTGTTATCCTGGGGCAGAGGTTATCACACCTCTCTGGTTATCAGATTTCTCTTGTGGGCATCGAGTCCTACCTTCTGGAGTTGTGGGGATGAAATAAGATTAATAGGGGTGGTCCACAAAGCTTCCCCATAAATATTTGTTTGCTGTCATTCTCTTCACTTACATGTATGGAACACTTCATACATTTATAAAATATTTTTAGTCAATTGATTTGTACATAATAATGTAAAATAAATGAGATAAGGATTAATAATCACATTTGCAGGCAAAGAGCATGGTGTCCAAAAGGGAGTAGGGGCAGGTAAGTCACCCAGCGAGTTAATGGTGGAGCTTAGACTAGGAGCCAGGTCACTTGCATCATGATCTGGAGGTCTGTTCATGCTATTGGATGTCTCCATCCTATGGATGGAATAGCAAAAGACAGATGTGTGACCCTGATGTTGTTTTCCTCCTCTGGGCTATGCCTAAGAGTTCATTATTGGGCTTTGGAAGGCCAGAGTTTGATTTCCAGCTCCGCTATGTGTAGGTCGAGGATGTTGGCCAAGTCACTTAACCTCCTTGAAGACCACTTTCTCATCTCTAAAATGGATACAATCAGAGCTAACATTTAAAAAAATATATATTTTTTGATTTCAGAGAGGAAGGGAGAGGGAGAGAGAAACATCAATGATGAGAGAGAATCATTGATTGGCTGCCTCCTGTACGCCCCACATTGTGGATCAAGCCCACAACCCGGGCATGTGTCCCAACTGGGAATTGAACTGAGATCTCCTGGTTCATAGGTCAATGCTCAACCACTGAACACACTGGCTGGGCCAGAACTAACATTTATTGAACGCTGACATGTGCCAGGCACTGTTCAGTACATTGTGTATGGTTTATGCCACACAATCCTCCAACAAATATGCGACTGAAACATGTTACAGGTAAGAACAAATTATTTCCACCTGAGCACTGATATCATGAAGCATGTGCTCCCTATTTCTGCCTCATACTGTCTCTCAAAATGGCTGAGAGAATTAAATATCAAGTGAAGTAGGACTTTCTACACAATGAAGAATTAGAAGTGGAACTTGGCACTGATCTTCATGATCAATATATGCACAATTGAGTCTTAGATCACATGGTTTCATTTAATAATTTTAATAAAGAAGTCTTTCAAAATCAAAATGTAACTATTATTATATTCAAACAAAGAGCACAAACAATTTTTATTTATTTATTTAATTTATTTTTTAATAAATCTTTATTGTTCAGATTATTACAG